AGGGAGTTTATTCTATTGGCTTTCAAAAGCCAATAGAATAAAAGGGAGGAGCACAGCTAAGGAAAAGGGGGGAAAAAAATGGCGGACTGTGTTGTTTGGCGACCCCCGTGAAATGGTCGTTCGACCCCAAATGGAGTCCCGACCCCCAGGTTGAGAACCACTGGATTAGACATACCCAATTCCTGCAACCCAATTCCATACCCAATTAAGATAAGATAAGATTAAGATTAAAATTAAGATGATAAAGTAAGGTAAGGTAAGGTAAGGTAAGATAAGATAAGATAAGATAAGATAAGATAAGATACAAGATAACCTTTATTATCATTTTTTTTTACTGTGGGCACAACGGCACACATCAAAAATGAAATTTGGTTGCCCGCTCTCAAAGTGAAACACATACAGGACACACACCTAAACATACTATGTACAACATATGTATATAGACCCACACCCCTACATATATGTAGCAAACAAATATTAAATACTGTCCATCTTGAATATATAACATTATATATATATATAATATTCCTGCATTCTTTGTGTATTTTAGCCTCCATTCTCCCTTTGTTGCTCTTCTCTGCACCTTTTTCTGGAGTCTTAGCCCTTCCTCTGGGCTGTTTCTCCAGGACAGGGGTGCAGGGTCACTTCACAGCCCTGGGGGGGGGGGGCAAAGAAGAGGAAAAATTTGCACAGAGACGGAAAGGACTGGTTGACTGGTTTCAATCAATCTCTCAAACTAACAGGCCATAAAGTTGGCATGGTTGCCCAATCATGGACAGGGGTCTTCAAACTTGGCCCTTTGATGACTTGTGGACTTCAACTCCCAGAATTCCTCAGCCAGCTTTGTCTGTTTTGTCGCACTTATGATCAGGGGTCTTCAAACTTGGCCCTTTTATGACTTGTGGACTTCAACTCCCAGAATTCCTCAGCCAGCTTTGTTTTGTCGCACTTATGACAAGGGGTCTTCAAACTTGGCCCTTTGATGACTTGTGGACTTCAACTCCCAGAATTCCTCAGCCAGCAACAAAACAGACAAAGCTGGCTGAGGAATTCTGGGAGTTGAAGTCCACAAGTCATAAAAGGGCCAAGTTTGAAGACCCCTGATACAGGGCATCTCCAACATGTGGCTTCAGGCCCGCTAGACTCACGCCCCCATCTCAAGAGGGCAGCTGTATTGTTGGGGGTCAAAATGGGGTCTGGCCCTGGGCCTTGCTGGCAGTTGGACAGGGCACAATCACACCAGACAATTCGACTCGCATCATCTCGTTCCCACATTCGTGGTGTGTTTATGGTCCCGTGATGTCCTTTTGCGACATTCTGACAAGCAGATTCAATGGGGGATGTTGTTACTAGCTTAACAACCACAGTGATTGACTTGACCCCCGTGGCCAGACAGGTCGTAAAGTGGGGCAAAACTACTTAACGACTGTCTCACTTAGCGATGTAAATTTTGGGCTCCCTGGTGGTCGTAAGTTGAGGAAATTCGTCTTTACATTCCTTCAGATGCAGCAACGTCTTTTCCATCCCGGCCTCCAGGCCGTCCTCCAGTTGGGACCGCCGCTAAACCTGGGACGACCGTCGTTAAGTCCTGCCGATGCTTAAGCAGGACGCCAGATGGCCCTACCCAATTTTACAAGCTTTTTTTTTTTTTGCAACGGTCGTTAAGCAAACACGGCAGTTGTCCGGTACTCCCGTTGTACCTGATGGGGATAAACCAGGATTAAAGTCTAATTTCTGGTTAAAAATAAGTCATAAAGGTCCTTATCCCCACCTTGTCCCCCTCTTAGCGCCCTCAGCCCTCGGTTCAAGCGCCGTTCTTAATCCTGTTTTATTCTTTTTGGCTTTAATATTTCCATCTTTTAATTTCTTACAGGTTGTTCTTGATTTACAGCCACAATTGATCCCAAAATTTCCGTTGCTAAGCGAGACGGTTGTTCAGTGAACTGTGACCCACTTTACGACCGTTCCTGCCACAATCTTTAAGTGAATCGCTGCAGCTTTTCAGTTAGTAACACGGTCGTAAAGCGAACCAGCCTTCCTCCATTGACTTGGTGGGTCGGAAGGTCGCAAAAGGGGATCACGTGACACCCCCGCCCCGGGACGTGCGACAGTCATAAATGCGAATCAGTGGCCAAAGCGTCCGGATTTTGTTCACGTGACCCTGGGGTGTGTGTGTGTGTGTGTGTGCTACAACAGTCGTTAAGTGGGAAAAAGTGTCGTAAGTCCTCTTTTTTGGTGTGGTTGCCATTTTGAACGGTCACTAAATGAATCGGCCATAAGTCAGGGACTGCCTGTGCTTGCTTGGGTATAACCTGTAGGCCACCGAGGGTCGTCCCGTCGGAGATACGGACAGCCTAAAAATTTAATCAATCAGTAAAACAGAAAATAAATAAAAGCTGGTCACGGGACAGGGGCCTGTGGCAAATGGCGGTACATATGGGCCGGTTGCCAAGCAACCCCAAAAGTGGTCATGTGACTGGGGGAGGGGCACCCGTCAGAACTCTGAAACTGGGCTATAAGGGGCTCTGGGGAGGCGTGTCATAAGTGTGAACGGTCGCTAAGTGAACGCTTGCAAGTTGAGGCACACCTGCAATCCGAGGAGGGTGTCCCGTTGTTGATGCTCCCCCTTTGGCTGCGTTTGTGAGTTTCAAGCCCCTCCCCCCACCCCCCCCCCAAATGAAAGCAGGGCTTGACTAGCAGCTGGGCAGTCTCAAGTCTCCCCTTTGCCAGACTGAGCTGGCTGCACTGTCTCCTCCCTTGGCTCTGTTTCGGTTCCGGTCAGTTTCTCTCTTTCACAAGATTTTTTAACTCTGAAGATTCCAAGCAGAGCCGAGGGAGGAGGAGGTCAAAGGCTGCAGCCCAGAGAAGTAAGCCAACCCCCCCTCCTCTGCTCTGCCTGATCGGAGGGTCTCTTCCCCCCCCCCCCCGCCCCGTGATGTGCAAAAAGGGGAGGGCAGAGGGGAACACCCTGGCCTTGGCCTGTCACACTCAGTAATCGGAGTGTCCCCATTTGAGGGTCTTCCTTCTCATTCTCCTCCTTCTCCTCCTTCTCCTTCTCCTCCTCCTCCTTTCTCCTCCTCCTCCTCCTCCTCCTCCTTTCTCATCCTTTTTCCTCCTCCTCCTCCTTCTTCTTCTATTCCTCCTCCTCCTCCTCCTTCTTCTCTTCCTCCTCCTCCTCCTCTTCCTCCTCCTTCTTCTTCTCCTCCTCCTTCTTCTCTTCCTCCTCCTCCTCCTTCTTCTCTTCCTCCTCCTCCTCTTCCTCCTCCTCCTTCTTCTTCTCCTCCTCCTTCTTCTTCTTCTCTTCCTCCTCCTCCTCCTCCTCTTTTTCCTTTTCCTTCTCTTTCTCTTTCTCCTCCTCCTTCATCTCCATCTCCTTCTCCTTCTTTCTCCTTCTCCTTCATTTCCATCTCCTTCTCCTTATTATAATAATAAGCTTTATTATAAGATACAATTATGGAAAAAACAAATGTTAGAAAACTAAGAGAGAGAGAGAGAGAGAGAGATTTTTTCTGTATAGCAGATTGCAAAAAAATGCAACCTCAAACGTTGGCTTTGCATTTCAAAACATTTTGATCCATTTCTGTAAGAAGAACACCATCAAAAATCTAGAATCAAAGTTTCATATATATTTTTTTCCAGTTTCAAGCAAAAAGTCCAGAAGTAAAAACAATCCTGGATAAATGTTATTCTTTAATTAAAACGTTCAGTTTCGCCCTCTCCATTATTTATTTATCTAGTAAATGTACAGTATATGCTGCCCCTTTCCCTGACAGAGCAACTCTGGGAAGTTTAGTGGAACATAAAAAGATAGATAGAAAAGCAATTTAAAATTATCCAACCCCCCCCCCAAAACCTCTTAATTCTATCGCCTTTATCATCCATTCTTCCATTCACGCGTCTCTCCATTTTTGTGCGTATACAATTCTCGCCGCCGGTATCATACAGAAGAAAAAAGGACCAAATTTTCTTTCGGGTTCCTTATCGATCAAACCAAAAATGAAAACATCTAGTTTCAATTTCATATTTATTTTAAGACTCTTCCGAGTGAAAGTAAAAATCTGATCTGAATGTTTCTTTGCTTTATTGCAATTCCATAAAACACGGCCTCTTTGCATTTCCAACCCACGAACGCCTTTCTACATTTTTGACAATGTCTTGGGTGTTAAATGCTATCATCTTATTAAAATTCTCTTTCGAAGGATAATACAGTGTAAATCTCAACCTTAGCAAAACCAAAAACCAAAAAAACCCCCACCACATTTATCCCTGCAATTCAATTTCAAACTTACTTTCTGCATCCTCAGAATCATGGCTTCTCCTATCTAGGTTAAATCTTTATTTTAATTGTAACTATATAAACCCATGACTGATCCATCCACCTAACCCCATTTTCTTCTTTCAACTCCAAATTAAGTTCGCCTTTAGTAAAAAGAGCAAGATGGGCAGCAGTCCAATTTAATAAATACAATTAAATCAATAAAACATAGCGTTTCACCACTGGTCCACCAAATTGGTTTTATTGCAATTGTTTTTATAAAATAATGCTCCTTAGGGTGACAACTAAAAAGCTATTTTAGGAGAAAGCCTTTGCCCTCACCCTACACTCAGATATTCAGATATTCGCCACTATTTCAAGCCTTGTTTTGCATTTAAACCTAACTCCTTAGCATAATATGCCTAACAAAATGATTCTTAAAATTTGCATTGCCTTTGGCTTTATCATAATACCACCTTAATTTAGTATTTTATCATATATTTTACTGTCCACATATATATCTATCTCTATCTATCTATCTATCTATCTATCTATCTATCTATCTATCTATCTATCTATCTATCTACCTACCTACCTACCTATCTATCTATCTATCTTTATATCTATATATACAGATTATACATAATACACAAATGTTTAAGTAGAACATCAAATATATATATAAAAATATATATACATATGTACAATGTGTTTATATATGTATAAAACACATACGTAAAATGTGTTATATATATGTATATATAAAAGATTATACATACATACACAAATATGTTTAAATAGGCATCAGCAAATATACACAGATACATATTGCTGATGCTCTATTTAAATGTATTTGTTTATGTATGTATTGTGTGTTTTATTACCATTGTATATCAGTGATTGCATGAGCTCTGTAGATGTGATACACTAATATAAAATAATCAGATAATCATGCCACATGTAGGCAAATCATGGCCCTCCAAATTTAATAACCACTTATTCTTCAACGTCACCCATTCCTTCATCCAAACAAAACAGCAAGCCTCAAAATATAATTTTACATCTGGTAAATCCAATCTTCCTCTCTTTTTAGCATCCTGCAACAATTTATATTTAATTCTCGTTTTTCTTCCCCTTGCCATTTAACTTGGAAATACCTTTCTGGCATTGTTTAAGGAAAACATCTGTAATCAGATAGTGGTAAAGTCTGAAATAAAAACAAGATCTTAGGTAAAATATTCATCTTGATTACAAAATTTTTATCTGGTAAAGAAAGTTGTAATTATATGTTTATACTGGAATACCTTTTTAATATCTTTCCAGTCACATCATTGTTCTCTTTCATAATGTTTTTATTTTTTTTAATATCTTGGAATTTATATTAGTCGATATAACTCCAAGGTATTTCCCTTTTCCCCCCTACACTTTAAATTTACCGATCCTGTACAGTCATATTCTTAACCAAGGGTTTTGTTTTCTGTTTATTTTATCTTAAAGCAGTCCAAAGCAGCATTCAACTTCTCCATTAAATATTCCATTCCATTTTGAGGATGTTGCAAAATCAAAACTAAGTGATCAGCAAAGAATCTCGATTTATACGTTTCGTTTTTAATCTCCAAACCCAATATTTTCTCATCCTCTCTAATGTCTCTCATCAAAATTCCCAAACTAAACTAAAAAAAATAAAAGGACATCCTTGTGTTTTAGCCTTTTGAATTGTGCACGGCTTGGTGAATTCTTCATTAACAATAATATCAGCCTGCCAGGATATACAAAATGACTTATTTCGTTATTTTTATTTATTCAACATATATACTGCTTTAATGCCTTGAATAAAATTTCTCCATATCTAGAGAAGTCCGTATTTCCCAAAACTTTAAACATAGAGGAAAATTTAAATTGCGAAAAGCTTTCTCCGCTTCCCAAAATATTAATCTTGCTTCTTTTTCATGTAAATGTTATTATTATTGTGAATATTCAATCACATCCAAGATTTGTCATGTTTTCTTTTAACTACCTTTTTGGGAAAAATGCAGTTTGATCCTTATGAATAAAGGTTTGCAAAAAAAAAATCTTCAATCTTTCAGCCAACACTGCAGTCAAATGGTTGTTTAACAATGAAATAATTGTGTAGTCTTTTTAGTGTTAAATTTTGAGGTTTTGGAGGGGTTTTATTTGCAATAAAGCCATACGAGAATGAAGCATTTCAGATCCTTGCCAGACAGAGTTCATTATAGTCTTAAGTGGTTAAACGGTCGTTGCCTTGAATTACTTATAAAGCAATAAAGGCAGGAGAAAAGAAACATCTAAATAAAATAAAAACAAAATAAAAAGTAATCCTCAAACCACTTGTAGTATTGACCCCAAAGTCCATCCACTCCTGGGGCTTTACATATTTCAGTTTTTCTAACGTCTTCTGATATTTCAACGGTTGTTATAATATGAATATTTTTGTAGAAAGCATCTATTGTTTCGCAAATCAGATTCCTGCTTTTTATTCAAATGGGTGTCAGAATTATGAAAGGACCAAAAGAGCATGATTTTTGAAAAAATCCTTTTGGTTTGTTTGTTTGTTTGCTGGCTTCGAGGCAGCTAAACCTTGCTTGCTTCCATTATTTCTTTATTGTTTCATTTGAAATGTAGCTGAATGAGTGGAGGATTTTGCACAACTGAGACGTGTGTGTGTGTGTGTGTGTGTGTGTGTGTGTGTGTGTGTGTGATCATTTTGATCTCTCATCCAGGGAAGAACCGAGAACAATATTTCATTCTTCCTAAACAGCAACAAGGTAGGAACAATCTGGAATCATAAACCTGGGATCTTTGAAAAAAATAAGCAAATATATTTCCAGCCTGCAAAACAAAAAACAAAAACAAAAAAAGTTCACTATGGCTTGCAAATTCAGCCGGACAATTACGAGGCACAAGATCTGCCATTCTTTTGGCTTTTCCATTATTGTTTGATTGGTTTAGTAAATCTATATTTTAATGCTCCATGGTCAAATTGGTTCATAGACCGTGGGAGGCGGGGGGCTTTAAGAATTACCGTTGGCAGCATTGGTTTTGTAAATTTTTTTAAAAGCCCAATTTAGAAAATATACAATTTTTATTAGATAGATAGATAGATAGATAGATAGATAGATAGATAGATAGATAGATATAAACCTCAGAAAACAAATGTGTGTGTGTGTGTGTGTGTGTGTGTGTGTCTGTGTGTGTAAACTCTTTGTGGCCCAACGAAACAGATTAGGATTTCAGCTCACGCAAAATGAACTGTTGATAGCTGAGAAGGAAGAACGAGGTTTTAAATTTGATTTACGTTCAGAAAATGAAGTGTAGTGGAACCATTTGTCTAGAACAGAATGGGGTCTCCTGCTTGAGCAGGGGCTGGACTAGAAGATCTCCAAGGCCCCTTCTAGCTCTGTAATGATTGATTGGTTGATTGATGGATTGATATTGATTGATTGATTGAAACCTGCATCGTTGCTCTTCCTCTTTCCACCCGCCCCACCATGACCTCGTGGGGTGCGTTGGGCTGCGAAAAGCACCCAAGGAGCTTCCATAGTTGAGCAGGGGCTAGAGGCAGGCTCTCCTACATAAACAGGACCCCAGCCTCGCCCTCCTGGCTGCCTAGGGGGGAAGCAGAGCCGAATCCAGGGGGACCAGACAGGCTGCAATCTGGAGATGGGCCGGAGGGTGTCCTTCACGTTGGCAGGGATGATTTTACCCAGCAAATCTGGCAGGCTTGGCCAAGCCGCTTAGAAAAAGACCCTTTCCTTTGACAGAACGGGACCCCTGCCCACAGAAAGCATGATAGATGAGAGATAGATAGGTAGATAGAGATAGATAGATAGATAGATAGATAGATAGATAGATAGATAGATAGATAGAAGATAGATAGATAGATAGAAGATAGATAGATAGATAGATAGATAGATAGATAGATAGATAGATACATAGAAGCTAGATATGATAGATAATAGACAGACAGACAGATAGATAGAAGATAGATATGATAGATATGACAGATAGATAAAGATAGATATGATAAATATAGATAGATAGATAGATAGATAGATAGATAGAAGATAGATATGATAAAGATAGATAGATAGAAGATAGATATGATAAAGATAGATAGATAGATAGATAGATAGATAGATAGATAGATAGAAGATAGATATGATAGATGATAGATAGCTAGATATGATAGATAGATGATAGAAGATAGATAGCTAGATAGATATGATAACTAGATAGAAGATAGATAGGATAAATATAGATAGATAGATAGATGATAGATATGATAGATGATAGATAGATATGATAGAAAGATAGATATGATAAATATAGATAGAGATAGATAGATAGATAGATAGATAGATAGATAGATAGAAGATAGATAGAAGAGATATGAGAGATGAGAGATAATAGACAGACAGATAGCTGAGAGAGAGAGAGAGAGAGAGAGAGAGAGAGAGAGAGAGAGAGAGATAATACTGATAACATTACCTAGTTGGGTCATGAAATGACTGCAAAAAAACTACCAAGCTCAGAGAGCACCAAAGATGCTACAATCCTCCTCCTCCTTCCAAACCCCCCTCCCTTCTAGCACTGATGAAGTTCCCTAGTGGGTTCATAAAATGTCTGCAAGGAAACCCCCCAGCTGAGAGAGCACCAAGGACCCCACAGTCCTCCTCCTCCTCCTCCTCCTCCTCCTCCTCCTCCTCCTCTTCTTCTTCTTCTTCTTCTTCTTCCTCCTCCTCCTCCTCCTCCTCCTCCTCCTCCTCTTTCTCTTCCTCACCACTCCCTTCTAGCACTGATGACGTTACCTAGTTGGGTCATGAAACATCTGCAAGGAAACCACCCAACTCAGAGAGCACCAAAGACCCCACATTTCAACCCTGAGCTACGAAAGTGGATACGCTGTATGGGAGAGACAGGGAACGCTTTGGAGGCCAGGCCCGCGGGCCAAAGGGTTTCTCCCGTGCAGAGCTCAAGTCACTCAATCAATCAGAATAGAGCTGGAAGGAGATCTTCCAATCCAGCCCCCGCTAAGCAGGAGACTCTCCACCGTTTCAGTCCTGGGCGTCTCTTTGACGGCCAATCAGCCACGCAAACGGCAGCCCGGGAAGGCCGACTCCGGCCTCGGTTGCAGATGACTTTTCACAGGCCCACAATCCAGGGGATCTAACACACACACACACACACCTTTTTTAGAGGTGTCAGGTAGCTGAAGTGCATTCCTCAGGAATTGCTTTTGTCACTGAGCATGCAGTGCCCTCTTCCTGCCAGCAGGTGTCCCTTTGGGCGAAGGTGGGGCGCAGAGTTCCCCCCCCCAAGTCCCTCAGCCTCCTCTCTCCCTCTCCAGGGCCACGGCTGGACCCCCTTCCCCATTTAGCCCTCTCTGAGACCCCCCCTAGTTCAAAAACGGGCATTTCTCTGCCAGTTCTCTGTGCTCCTTGCAGTGCCTTTGGGGGTAAGGAAATGGACCCCTCTGGGCCATTGCTCCCAAATAGGGGGCCGCCCGATGCGTCAAACAACAGGGAATCAGCCTATTTTCCAAAGCGCCTGAAGGCAGGACAAGAAGCAATGGGTGGAAACTAACCAAGGAGAGAACCAACCTAGAACTAAGGAGAAACTTCCCGACAGTGAGAACAATTAATCAGCGGAACAACCTGCCTCCAGAAGCAGTAAATGCTCCAACACTGGAAGTTTTTAAGAAGAGACTGGACAGCCCTTTGTCCGAAATGGTGTAGGGTTTCCTGCCTGAGCAGGGGGTTGGACTAGATGACCTCCAAGATCCCTTCCAACTTTGCTACTACTACTATTATTATTATTATATTTCCATTTATTTGTTACATCTTTATCAGCATTTCTCGTATCAGTCCCCATAATTCTCACCTGTAGGAATACGCTGGGAGGGAACTGAAGGCGTTGTAGTCCAGAGCATCTGAAGGACACACAATGCACCGTATGTTAACCCAGAAGCCAAGCCAGGCGTCTCTAAAACTTGGCAACTTTTAAGACTCGTGGACTTTCAACTCTCAGAATTCTGGAAATTCTGGGAGTTGAAGTCCACAAGCCTTAAAGCTGCCGAGCTGGCTGGGGAATTCTATAGTAGTTCATTTAGTGACCGTTCAAAGTTACTAAGCAGCACTGGAAAAAGTGACTTTGTGACTGTTTCTCACACTTGCGACCCGTCGCAGCATCCCCAGGGTCATGTGATCAAAATTCAGAGGCTGGGCCCCTGACTCGTATTTACGACGGTCGCAGAGATCTCCTTTTGTGACCGTCGGACACGCAAAGCCAACGGGGGAATCTAGATTCACTTAACACCCCTTTTACTAACTCCACCACTGCAGCGATTCGCTTAACAAATCTGGCAAGAGAGGCCGTCAAATGGGGCAACACTCACTTAACAACAGAAATGTCGGTCTCCCCTGCGGTCGTAAGGAGAGGACTGCCAGTCATCCTAAAAGAGAAGAGCCAGGTTTTGGTTTTATGCTAATTTTAAGACTCTTCTGCGTGGATCGGGCCCCAATATTTCTCTGCTCCGCTCCGAGTTCCCCGAAACCCCGAGGGAGGGGAGGAATGACGTCTCTGTGTTGGTTCCTCTAGATGCAAAAGGGACCATCCGGGAGATTGTCCTTCCCAAAGGCCTGGATCTGGACCGGCCCAAGAGAACCCGCACCTCCTTCACCGCGGAGCAGCTGTATCGGCTGGAGCTGGAATTCCAGCGATGTCAGTACGTGGTGGGCAGAGAAAGGACGGAATTAGCAAGGCAGCTCAACCTTTCGGAGACCCAGGTAAGAGAGAGAAAGAGAGGGGGGGAGAGAGGGAGAGGGAGAGAGGGAGAGGGAGAAGGAGAGAGAAAGGGAGAGTAGAAGAGGGGAAGAGAGGGAGAGAAGAAGAGAGAGAGAGAGAGAGAAGAAGAAGAAGAAGAGGGGAGAGAGAGGGAGAGAGGAAGAGAGAGGAAGAAAAAGAGAGGGAGAAAGAGGGGGGAGGGGGAGGGAGAAAGGAGGGAGGAAGAGAGAGGGGGAGAGAGAAAGGGAGAGGGGGAGAAAGGAAGAGAGGGAGTAGGGAGAAAGAGAAAGGGAGGGAGAGAGAAGGACAGGGAGAGAGGGAGAGAGAGAGGAAGAGAGAGGGGGAGAAAGAGAAGGTGGAGAGGGGGAGGGAAGGAGAGAGGGAAAGAGGGGGAGAGGCAGAGAGAGGGAGGGAGAGGGAGAGAGAGAGAGAAGGGAGAGGAAGAGAGAGGAAGAGGAGGAGAAAGAGAGAAAGGGAGAGAGAGGAAGAGAGAGGGAGAGAGAGGAAGAGAGAGGGGGAGAGAGAAAGGGAGAGGGGGAGAGGGGGAGAAAGGGAGAGGGAGAAAGGGAGAGGGAGAGAAAAAAGGGGGAGGGAGAGAGGAAGAGAGAGGGGGAGAGAGAAAGGGAGGGTGGAGAGGGGGAGGGAGGCAGAGAGGGAGAGGTAGAGGGGGAGAGGGGGAGAAAGGGAGAGAGGAAGAGAGAGGGGGAGAAAGAGAGAAAGAGAGAGAAGGAGAGAGAGAGAAGAAAGAGAGAGGGGGAGAGAGGGTGGAGAGGGGGAGGGAGGGAGAGAGAGGGAGAAGGAGAGGAAGGGAGAGAGGAAGAGAGAGAAAGAGAGGGGGGAGAAAGAGAGAAAGGGAGAGAGAGAAAGAAGAGGGGGAGAGAGGGAGAGGGGGAGAAAGAGAGGGTGGAGAGGGGGAGAGAGAGGAAGGGAGAGAGGAAGAGAGAGAAAGAGAGGGGGGAGAAAGAGAGAAAGGGAGAGAGAGAGGAAGAAAGAGGGGGAGAAAGAGGGTGGAGAGGGGGAGGGAGGGAGAGAGGGGGAGAGAGGAAGAGAGAGAAAGAGAGGGGGAGAAAGAGAGAAAGGGAGAGAGAGAAAGAAGAGGGGGAGAGAGGGGGAGAGGGGGAGAGAGAGAGGAAGGGAGAGGAGGGAGAGAGAGAGGAGTTTCATTACCAAACTAGGTAACATCATCAGTGCTAGAAGGGAGGGAGCTTGCAGAGAGGAGGAGGAGGAGGAAGACGAGGACTGTGGGGTCCTTGGTGTTCTCTTGGTGGTTTTTCTTGCAGACGTTTCATTACCCAACTGGGTGACGTCATCAGTGCCACTGATAATGAAGCCCTGGTGATGAATTCAGCTATGATTTCCTGACAGTGAGAATCATTAACTTCTTTTAAGAAAAGACAGGACAGCCCTTTGAATGGAATAGCATAGGGCCTCCTGCGTGAGCAGGGGGTTGGACTAGAAGACCTCTAAGGTCCCTTCCATTGCTGTCCTTTCCCAGGCTGGTCCTCCTCTCTGCCCCCCCCCCCCATCTCCTTGGCCAGAGCAGGGGGTGACCTTGGGAAAAGCTGCCAGCGTGCCGTAATTAACCCGTCAGGAGCTGAGAGGCAGGGCTGGCTGGCAAAGCCAACCGGCTGCTACAGGTTCACACTCCTGCTGAGCCCAGCTGGGCATTTCCTGCCCCTCCTCTCAGGCTCCTCCCCAGCCCTCCCCCCCCCAAGGTCTTCCCCCAAGGACTGGCCCAGGAGGGCAGATCCTGAAGCCCAGCAGGGGCGCTTGCTCAGAGGTGACCTGAGCTGCTCAGGCCAGGTGGACGAAGCCCCAGGTAAAGTCTGCCCCAGGCAGGCTCAGGTGAGCTTGAGCTGGGCTGGAGGCTAAAATGAGGAGCCTGGGGGCTAAAACACAAAGAGTGACTGCAGGAATTGGGTCGGTCTGATTGAATGAAGAGAAGAAGCAGGGGGGACACCACAGTGGGGGTCCAGTATCTGAGGGGCTGCCCCAAGGAAGAGGGAGTCAAGCGCCTGAAGGCAGGACAAGAAAAAAAAACGATGGAAAGTAATGAAGGAGAGAAGCAACTTGGAATAGGGAGGGAGGGAGGGAGGGAGGGAGGGAGGAAGGAAGGAAGGAAGGAATCGGGAAGGAGGGAGGAAAGGAAGGAAGGAATTGGGAGGGAGAGTGGAAAGGAGGAAGGAAGGAAGAAAGGAAGGAAGGAAAGAAGGGAGAGGGGAAGAAAGGAAGGAAGAAAGGAAGGAAAGGAGGGAGAGAGGAAGAAAGGAAGGAAGGAATCGGGAGGGAGGGAGGAAGAGGAAGGAAGGAAGGAAAGGAAGGAGAGAGGAAGAAAGGAAGGAAGGAAGGAAAGAAGGGAGAGGGGAAGAAAGGAAGGAAGAAAGGAAGGAAAGGAGGGAGAGAGGAAAGGAAGGAAGGAAGGAAGGAATCGAGAGCAAGAGAGGAAGAAAGGAAGGAAGGAAAGAAGGAAGGAATCGGGAGGGAGGGAGAGAGAAAGGAAGGAAGGAAGGAAGGAAAGGAGGGAGGGAGAGAGAAAGGAAGGAAGGAAAGGAGGGAGAGAGAAAGGAAGGAAGGAAGGAAGGAAGGAAGGAAGGAAGGAAGGAAGGAAGGAAGGCTGTTTCCTATATGAACCAAGCCCTGATTTCCTAACAGGGAGGTGATCTCGGCTGAGAGAACAGGAAGTATTGCCTGGACAGCCTCTGTTCCTCTCTCCGGCCTCCATCAAAATACTTTTGGCCTTTCCGTGTCCCCACTTGGCCTGCTCTGGTCCTCCTGGTGGGGCTGACAGCCGGTGATTCAATCTTCCCTGATTTGGGATTTATCCAGCTAAATATAGGCCCCGCGTGACACCAATCCTGTGGCTCAGAGAGGCCTCCGGGGGATTGGGAGCGCTTCCCGGAAGGGTGAGAGATGCCAGGGAGATGGCATGACCCAGTCCCCTTGCTTCTCTCCCTGCCCTTGCCTCTCCCTCCCTCCCTCTCGTTCCTTCCTTCCTCCCTCCCTCTCCTCCCTCCCTCCCCTTCCTCCCTCCCCTTGTTTCTCCCTCCCTCCCTTCCTTCCTCCCTCCCTCCCCTTCCTCCCCTTCCTCCCCTTCCCTCTCCCTCCCTCTCTCCCTCCCTCCCTCCACTTCCTCCCTCTCCTTCCTTCCTCCCTCCCTCCCTTCCTTCCTTCCTTCCTTCCTTCCTTCCTTCCTTCCTTCCTTCCTTCCTCCCTCCCCGCCCTTGCCTCTCCCTCCCTCCCTCCCTCCCCTTCCTCCCTCTCCTCTCTCCCTCCCTCCCTTCCTTCCTCCCTCCCTCCCCTTGCCTCTCCCTCCCTCCCTCCCTCCCTCCCCTTCCTCCCTCCTTCCCCCCCTCTCCTTCCTTCCTCCCTCCCTCCCTCCCTTCCTCCCCTTGCCCTCTCCCTCCCTCCCTCCCTCCCTCTCTCCTCTTCCTTCCTCCCCTTGCCTCTCCCTCTCTCCCTCCCTCCCTCTCTCCTCTTCCTTCCTTTCCTTGCTCCCTCCCTTCCTCCCCTTGCCTCTCCCTCCCTCCCTCTCTCCCTCCCCTTCCTCCCTCCTTCCCTCCAACTTTCCCCCTACTTTACCTTACTTTATCTTACCACCTCCCCATCCGCCCCCCCCCCGCTGGGGAATCCTGGGAGTTGAAGTACGCCCACCTTCAAAAGTTACCCAGGCTGAAAACTCTTGGATTCACTTCTCCGGGATGGTACATACTCGCTTTCCAGCCTCCCCCCCCACACACCCACAGCCCGACCCCCGACCCCGGTAGACGGTCGTTCCTTGAAGACCCCCTCCAGCTCCCTCCAGGCGTGGTTGGCCGGGTGGGCACCTGGGAGGGAGGGGCCGAGGGAGGGAAGGAGGGGCTTCGGGTCGGGCGGGGTCTCCCCCACCCAGCGGGGAGGGGAGGGTCCTCCGAGCCCGGCGCTGACCCCTCCCCTCCCCTCCTCTGCCCGCAGGTCAAGGTCTGGTTCCAGAACCGGCGCACCAAGCAAAAGAAGGAGCAGAGCCGCGACTCGGAGAAGCAGCGCAGCGGCGCCCCCGGCCCCTCCGAGGCTTTGGCCACCTGCAGCCTCCTGAGACTGCTGGAGCAGGGCGGGCTCCTCTCCGTGCCGGCGCCCCCCGCCCTGCTTCCCACGAGCCCCCACCCGCCCGCCCGCCCGGCCCCTTCCCCGGGGCGCAGCAGGGCGGGCAGCCCCCCGGCCGCGGGCGCCTTCAGCCTGCGCCTCTCCGCCCTGGCCGAGCCGGGCCCCCCCCCGGCCCTCCCCGCCGCCCCCCTGGCCTTCGGCAGCCCCCTGGCGGGAAGCCCCCCGCCCAAGCTCCCGGCCGGCTACGGCCCGGCGCCCTCCGCCTTCGAGCCCTACGCGCGCCTGGCGAGGAAGGGGCGCCCCACGCGCGGACAGCAGCCCCCCAGCCCCCTTTGAAAGGGGGGCGCGGGCGTCAGGACTCGGGGTCGCGGGCAAGGAGGGCGCGCTGAGCCTCCCCTCCCCCGCCCCACCCCCGAAAGGAGGCGAAGAAGCCCGCGTGGGTCTCCCCCCCCACCACCGTGGCCTCCGTCTCCCCACCGCCACCCACCCACCCACCCACCCCCCGACTTGTCGAGCTTCGCAAGTGGACCCTCCGACACCGTCTACCAAACGGCAGCCACCCGGTGTGTGTGTGTGTGTGTGTGCGTGCGCGCGCGCGTGGGAGTGGGTGCGTGCCCGCGCGGGTCTGGACGCGTGTGACCCTTTCACGGAAATTAAATGACAGCTACTGGCTAAAACCCGGCTCCCTGCTCCCTGCTGTGACTGGGGGTGGGTGGGGGTGGGTGGGGGGCTTTGGCACAAGCTGGGATGGGGGGGGGAGGTTTTCCTTCCGTGGCTTCTCCAAGCAAGAGAGACTTGGATGGGAATGGGGGGGGGGCGTTGGGCAGCCTCGACGGAGGGGTCCGGCAGGGGCTGGCTTTCGAAGAGGGAAGCCCCTTTGAAAGGGTGAGGATGGGGGCTCCGGCCCCAAAGGGGCTGCAGGACAGACATTGCCTGCGCTCGCGCCCCCCCCCCCCCATGGATGCTGTAGGGGCGGAATTGGCCCTAACATTTAAGGGCGATGAGGCAGTTCTGAAATGTTTTTCATTATCTTAGCATCCCCCCCATCTCTTCCTTTCATAGTTGCTTCCTTCCTTCCTTCTGCCCGACCCTTTCTCCTTTTTCCCTCCCTCCCTCCCTCCTTCCTTCCTTCCTTCCTTCCTCCCACCCTTCCCTTCCCTCCCCATCAATCGTGGGTGCTCCATCACTGGAGATTTTTAGGAAGAGGCTGGACAATCACCTGTCTGAGATGGTGCAGGTTCTCCTGCTTGAGCAGGGGGCTGGACTAGAAGATCTCCAAGGTCCCTTCCAGCTCTATTCTGTTCTATTCTATTCTATTCTATTCTATTCTATTCTATTCTATTCTATTCTATTCTATTTTCCAATATTCTATTCTGTTCTGTACTGTTCTGTTCTATTCTATTTCATTCCATTCCATTCTATTCTATTCTATTCCATTCCATTCCATTCCATTCCACTCCACTCCTCCACTCCACTCCACTCCATCTATTCTATTCTATTCTATTCTATTCTATTCTATTCTATTCTATTCTATTCTATTCTATTCTATTCTACTCTATTCTATATACTCTACTCTACTCTAGTCTATTTTCCAATATTCTATTCTATTCTATTCTATTCTATTCTATTCTATTCTATTTTCCAATATTCTATTCTATTCTATTCCATTCCATTCCATTCCATTCCATTCCATTCTTCATCTCTTCTATTCTATTCTATTCTATTCTATTCTAGTCTAGTCTAGACTAGTCTAGTCTAGTCTATTTTCTATTTTCTATTCTATATTCCCCTCTCCTTTCTTCCTTTCCTCCCTCCCTCCACTTTCTCTTCCCTCCTTGTCCCAAAGGTGCTTTTTTGAAAGGCAACTGGACTTCCTTGTTTTTCTTTGAAGACGTTTCACCTCTCATTCACCCAGCTTCTTCAGCTCTCTTCTTCACCTGCCTTCAGGTGCTGTGGAGAATAGCTTGACCCCCCACCTCTTCTTTGGGGCAGCCCCTCAAATACTGGAAGGCTGCTATCATGTCCCCCCTACTCCTTCTTTTCTCTAGACTGGCCATTCCCAACTCCTGCAACCGTCGTCCTTCATGTGTTTTTGTCTCCAGGCTTTTAATCATCTTAGTTGCTCTTCTTTGCATTTTTTCTGCTTTTTTGTAACGTGGTGACCAAAATTGGATGCAGTATTCCAGGTGTGCCCTTAGTAAGGCTTTATAAAGCGGTACTAACACTTCATGTGATTTTGATTCTATGCCTCTGTTTATACAACCAAGGATTGTGTTAGTTTTTTTAGCTGCTGTCACACATGGCTGGCTCCTTCCCTTCCCTTTCCCTTCCTTTCCTTTCCTTTCCTTTCCTTTCCTTTCCTTTCCTTTCGCTTCCCTTTCCTTCCCTTCCCTTCCCTTCCTTTTGCTTTCCTTTCCTTCCCCTCCCCTCCCCTTCCCTACCTTCCCTTCCCTTCCCTTTCCTTTCCTTTCCTTTCCTTTCCTTTCCTTTTCCTTTCCTTTCCTTTCCTCCCCTCCCCTCCCTCCCCTTCCCTTCCTTTCGCTTCCCTTCCCTTCCCTTCCCTTCCCTTCCTTTTGCTTTCCTTTCCTTTCCTTCCCCTCCCCTCCCCTACCTTCCCTTTCCTTTCCTTTCCTTTCCTTTCCTTTTCCTTTCCTTTCCTTTCCTTTCCTCTCCTCCCCTCCCCTCCCCTCCCTTCCCTTCCCTTCCTTTCCCCTCCCTCCCTCCCTCCCTCCAGAAGCCCGGTGGGAGTCCCATCAAAGTCCCAGAAATGGCTCTTGCTGTTACTACCCTGCCTGGAATTCTAGCTGATGTCCCCACCGGCTGGGGATGATGGGCTGCGAAGCCAGGGAAGAAACCAGCGTCTCATCAAAGCCCCCTCATCCAGGAGGGATTCAGGGGACACAGCCAAGTGCCTGCCTGCCTCAGGGTTGGAACTGTCAGCTCCCCAGTTATAGAAATGGAATGAATGAATGAATGAATTGGTGTTCCAACACGAGAGCACTGAGGGCCTCTTAACATTGATGGGGGGAAGGGAGAGGGTCCTGGGGTGTCTTGAGAGGAGATGCTGACTTCAAATTTTAGCAGTATGTGTTCATCACAGGAAGGATAACCTATGACACACACACACACACACATACACACACACACACACAACCCCAGACACAAACTCTTCAAACATCTCCCACAACTGCTTAAAGCAGTGGTTCTCAACCTTTCTAATGCCGTGACCCCATAATACAGTTCCTCATGTTGTGGTGACCCCCAACCACTTATACATCACTGGGTGCCAGGGGCGTGGCCAAAGAAAAGGGGGAAAAAATGGCGGACAGCCTTGTTTGGCGACCCCCGTGAAATGGTCGTTCGACCCCAAATGGGGTCCCGACCCACAGGTTGAGAACCACTGGCTTAAAGCTTGGCGATCCAGCTTCCTTTGCACTTTAGGGAGAAATCCGATGAAACCAGCTGCAAAGGAAATACGGGCATCCTTCTAAAGCAGTGGTTCTCAACCTTTTTAATGCCGTGACCCCCAACCGGTCGTAAGTCAAGGACTACTCAACCGGTCGTAAGTCGAGGACTACTCAACCGGTGCAGCACCGTTTGCAGAATGGGACTTTTGGCGGGCTCAGCAGGGCAGAGACAGTCTGGACAATTCCTATTGGCTTTGGAAAGCCAATAGAATTACTCTATTCAAGAGAGTCTATTCTATTGGCTTTCAAAAGCCAATAGAATAAAAGGGAGTAGCACAGCTAAGGAAAAGGGGGAAAAATGGCGGACTGCGTTGTTTGGCGACCCCTGTGAAATGGTCGTTCGACCCCAAATGGGGTCCCGACCCACAGGTTGAGAACCGCTGTTCTAAAGCAAAGAAAGACCCCAACTCATTTAATTACTTTTGTTGCCTTTTAAAAAAAAAATCAATCGCAGGGGGGGGGGAAACCCACACAAAAACAATTGTGATCGTGATAGAGACGTTGTCCAAAAGAAGGAAAAAAAAAGAACGCATGAAGGGCGCTCAACACACAAAAAAGTGCCAAAATAGGACGACGAAAGAAACGTACCGTGATACGTCATTATGGCAATAAACGGGTACAATTCTATATATATGCTTCTTTAATGCAAATATTGTTCAAGATGTATATACAGATAGTCCTTGACTGACAGCAATTCGCGTTAGTGACCGTTCCAAGTTACAACAGCGCTGAAAAAAAGGGACTTGTAACCATTTTTCACCCTTACGACCTTTGCAGCATTCCCCCCCCCCCATGGTCACGTGATAAAAATTCGGACGCTTGGCAACTGACTTGTATTTATGATGGTTGCAGCATCACGTGATCCCTTTTTGTGACCTCAATGGGGAAACCGGACTCAATTAACAATTGTGTTACTGACTTAAAACAACTGCTGGGATCAACTTAGCGACCGTGGCAAGGCAGGTCGTAAATGGGAGTGAAACTCGCAACCGTCTCAGCAACAGAAATTCCGGGTCGTAAGATGAGGACTACCTATACACAATCCACTCATTGTTGGGAAGTGCAGTCAAGTTTACACTCCACTGAGTGAAACATTTATTTATTTTTATTTCTGACATTCATTTGTGTGTCCATCAATTAGGTGTGCGTTCAAGACCATATTAGCCTCTGAATTTTAGCTCTGGCTGCACAATCCTATGGATACAACCCACTACTCTCTCCCCAAATTGGCTAAGTGTGTAGACACTGTCAAAACACGTGTTTTAAAAGAGCGTTGTCCTTATTCCCCGGCTAACAAAAAGTCCCAAGCTTTGGGAAAAGGAGACAGGCCGAATGCAGCCCTGTCAATTTATTGCAGTGTTTCTCAACCTTGACCATTTTAAGGCATGTGGACTTCAATTCCCAGAATTCCACAGCCAGCAATGCTGGCTGTGGAATTCTGGGAGTTGAAGTCCACATGCCTTAAAATGGTCAAGGTTGAGAAACACTGCTTTATTACCTTTTTCTCTCCCCCCCCCCGCACAAGCAAAAAAATTAAGTGCAACCCCCCCCTCCACCCAACAATTAAAAACTTCTGCTTTAGCCCCGTTCTCATCCACAGCAGTTTTTCAACCGTGGCAACTTTCAGATGGGTGGACTTCAACTCCCAGAATTCCATCCAACAGTCATCGGATTTAAGGGGACAAAACTGTCACCCCCAAACTTGGTGTTCAGGTCCTTTATGAAGAGTCTCCTTGGTCAAGGATTTGTGCCACTTTAAGACGGGTGAATTTCAACTCCCAGAAGTGCGAGACCGGCTGGCAGGGGGATTCTGGGAATTGAAGTCCACCTGTCTGAAAGCAGCCAACTTTGAAAAAAGTAAGTTAATAGGAGTTAATCGGAGAAGGTGATTCCCCTCCAATGGCTTTAGTGTCTTTCTCAAAGGCTCCTGCGTCAAGGATTTTTGC